CAGTAGAGCGGAAATATTATTTTAAGAATATTAAAGAACAGTAAAACCTCTTCCTGTATGGCAATTATGTTTGAATAATTTGGAGCCGTTTTTAATAAAATGGCGTTTTAAGCGCTACTTTAATTTCGAAATTTGATGCTCTTTTTCACAGAAAGTTTTTGGGTTTTCGAAAAACGTCATTAGAAGTCATTTGAAGCACTTTAACACACAAATATATAATTGGTTACAAATTGCTGAAAATGTGCATTTTAACGGCTTGATATTTCAAATAAATTATTTTTGTGTAATTTTTGAAAAACAAAAATACCCCGAAATGCACTTTACGTCATATTAAAAACAGTAATTAGCACTACCCGTTCGAAAAATTTGAAGAAACAGTTTGGAGCTGTTTTTGAAAAAAGGCGTTTAACCGTTTCTGAAAATGCGGGATTTTGAACTAGTTTTCACAAAAAAGTATTGAGTTTTCGAGAAACTTTATCTGATATTATTGAAAGCACATGTACTCTTATTCTTTTTATTTTTCTTCTTCTTCGTCTTCGTCTTCTTCGTCTTCTTCTTATTCTTCGTCTTCTTCTTCGTCTTCGTCTTCGTCTTCGTCTTCGTCTTCGTCTTCGTCTTCGTCTTCGTCTTCTTCTTCTCCTCTTCTCTTCTTCTTGCCGGTTTCTTAGTCTCTACTTCGGTCTTACATCGCCTAAAATGCTTCTCCAGTCTCCCTGAACACATGGAATCATAAATTTAATAATGTGTTTAATAATGAACAAATTGCCGCTAAATTGTAATGACGGTGACAATTCCAAATCATTACATTTTTGTATTTTTTGAAAAAAATAAAAGAATAGAGGAATATGTCATTATTTCGAGTGCATTGTGACCTTGAGCACTATCGATCGTGTTGGAAGATGCAATCCACGAATTGCTCTTCAACAGTGGGAAGCAAGGAACTTTTTAATAACATCAACGTACGCCTGTGCCGTGATAGTGCCATACAAACCAACAAGTGGTGCTAGCCCCCTCCATGAAAAACACGACTACACCATAACACAGTTTTGGACGTGTCCGGATACTTTTGATCACATAGTGTATATGATAATTAGATCCTAAAAATAGAAATCGGTTTCCAATGTTAATGTCATTATCTGAGGCAATGACACGCACGATTTGGAAATTATCGATTAATTCACAAATCTCCAAATTATAAGCTTTTCACGTATTGAATCTCTTTACGAAACTTACAAAAGGAAATATTCGATGAATTTCAAACACTGAAAAATCAAGGGTACAAAGTATATGTAATGATTCATAAGAAACGTTAGCAACCATACAGTTGAAGTAAGAAATATAGTTGTTTAAAAATCGTATTATTGAATAAATTCTCAGCATTTCACAAATCAAGAAACAATGGACTCTCTGGGAATTTCCAAAGAACGAGTGTCGTTTATTGAGACGCTAATTTCACGAGCGCAATCAACTATTTAGTTAAAATTAATATGGTATATTGACTTTATCTCAACATTCCAATAAGTGATGCATTCAAGCTGTAAAACCGAGATCGTGCAGATGACCTTGGAACAACAAAATATCACAATATTCTGTATCTAATTAATTTGTTTTATTTATGCAATTAAAAACTTAGTTAACTCATAATTATTAACCTTCTTAATGCCATAACACTGATCGCAAGCCATGTTATAAGTTTTATCCTTTCCTTACCAATAAAACCTTATATTTAAGGAATAGAGAAGAGGAAGAATTAATATTCTCCCAAAAAATAACAGATTTGAAGTTTTGTATTACTTCGAATGATTTAAAAAATATTAATGATACCCCTAATAAAATATCCGGCAATAAATTTCATTTACGATTAGAACAAGCATTCAAACTTATAAAGAGCATGCTCAATATTATCTATATAAAATGTTTTATCAGATCTTTTCAGCATTTTTTTAATACTACTGCATCACACTACAGTCTTTGTCGGAAACACATGTTTGTGTCATGTCAAACTCGAAAAGGAAGATTTAATTTAAACAATTAAGGAAAACATTTAAGGAAACAATTAAAAAAGAAATAATCAGGAGAATTCGCTGTATGAACAATTTTCACCGAATTTCCTTGATATTTCTTGACAATCACGGATAACATGTGTGCTTCTGTAACATTCAATGCTAAGAGATATCCCAATGAAAAATCTTTAAGTTTTAAAACTTGTTTAACTTACAAAACTGTTTCCTAGTTATTCAAGTTATTGATATTTTTGACACATTAAAAAAAAACGATAAACTAACATAATACTTTATCACCATATTTGTTAAAAAAATAGAAATTGGTATTCAGATCGACCCCTCTTTGCTTGTTTTTGAACACATTTCTGAAAAATATATCTCATTCTAACTTCATTAACTAATGAATCTGAAACTTTTAGGTTTGCTATCGATACAAGACAATGTCTAAGTTTAATTCAATATTTCCGAATGCAGTTCCTTGTTATCATGGTTCCTTGTAAAATATACGAACTTCGGACCTGAAGCACTGGTATGAACAGTAATTTTTATTATTGGAAATCTTTGTAATCACAATCATGCGCCGGGTTTGTGTTGGGAAGAATACTCTTTCACATTATGTGTGCAATGAATTTTATTTCGATTTAGGTGACTTGAAACACTATGAATTTAAACACAGTACAAAAATAATATCTGACGCAACAAAATAACGAATTACCTTTAACTGAATTCCTTTAACTATTAAGTAAAAGAGAGGTGAGTGACAAAATTGATAATTTCAAACTGATAAACACACAAACATTTTCAACATTTTTCTGATACCTGGATGAAAGTTGACGTTTCTTACAGAAAATTGAATGCTGAACCTTCATACGTCTTCATTTTTCCCTAACACGAGTAGTTTTTGGGAAATGACAGTTGTATAATTTATACATGTTGGAAAATCATTGTAACATTAAAGTACATTTCAAAATACTTTCCTTCCTGCAAATATATTTTGATCTTCTTCCGTTTGTTTGATGAAGATGTTTGAAATCTTACTGAAAAATCTGGTAACATAGTTAGGTTCCACTTCCCCGATAACGTTTTTTAATGTACTAATGGAACCGCTTTTCATGTTAGTCACTGACATCTCTCTTATTGTTTGGAAATAGGTAATGCAAGTGGAGGTGCAAGAAATGAAGCTTTAAATACCTGAAGCACCCCTTTGGCCACTAAAATCTTTTCCACATAATTTTAGTCTTCGAATTTCTTGCTTCCTAAAAAGTGCTTCGATACATCTTTAAAACATTCTCACGCATGGCTTTCATTTCCTTCAGATACAGCATTGAATTCAGTATTTCTCATCAATAGTCGTATCTGAGCGCCAACAGAAATAACTGATTAGATTTTTGCCGCACTAAGATTTGCAAACCTTTCTTTTAGATATTGTAATGCTTTGCCATTTCTAGCCATGCCCTTGGCAAAGTTTTTCAGTAGTCCCAGCTTGATGAACTAAGATGGAAGGTACATATTGCTAGATTCAACAAGGCTTTAATGCAACACATTTTAGTGCCCTGCGTCCAGAAGTCTTACAGGATACAAGACATTGGACAGTGAAACGGTTGAATCTGGTTCGACTGTCCCATTCACAGAAAAAGAAGCAGTATTTTGTGTTTCGCAGCTCTATTCCATAAACATTGACGATCACTTTTAGATCCCCACATATCTTCCACACGAAAGCATTATAGTTGATACTATTTAAAAGGTATTCCATGGTTTCAAAAGATTCCTTCACATGCACAGAATGAACAATTGAAATTGAAAATAGTTTGATACTACTATGAGATAAAAGGGCTTTAAAATTTACTTTTGACGCATCTATAAAGAGTAGTCATTCATTTGCATGGTGCATTAATCCAAGGGTTGTATTAAGGCATTTACATTATTGCAGTATGTAAGGATTTCTTTTATAAAAAAAATACCAAATACCTATCTTCACGATGAAAAATATGATAACACTGGTATCGTTGTTCAATAACGCTGTATCGTTGTTCATTGCTCTAATCGTGATTCAGCTCAGATTATGTGTTTGATAGATTTAGGTCTCTAACAGATCTAGTAATTCCTCTTGA